AACCAGACTGTGGTACACTCACCCAGGATAAGGGTTGATCCTTTTTTGAGGTTTTGAACTAATAATCATGAGTCAGGTGCTATTGGTTATTATATGGTTAGTAAATAATTTACTCCTAAATACTGGTTTAACTAACCTCCAACTTGATCTTGCCATCCACCGCCAGTTGTTAACATCTGTTCTAGATGCAGTACCTGAAATATTAAATGCACATGAATTCAATACACATATCTGGATACAAGTAGAAGAAATTTGAATGAGTTATATTGTGTAATTTATTTTTCAAAACACACTTGGAGCATATACAGATGCCAGTATTAATTTGTGTATATATTATTTTTATGCATAACTTCATTCTTGAATGTTAATACAGAAAATATTACTGACCGCATGAATGAGTGAATCATTGCTATACATCCGCCCTGATGCCTTCCACACTGCGGCTATAACTGCACCTGCCAATATACTACTAGTACCTAGACCTGCAAGTTAATATCATGAAATCATAATCTTGGTCATAATCATAATTGCAATAATTATCATCATATTTATGAAATGAACTATATGATAAGGTTACCTGATCCTTGTGGTAGATTAGACCAAGTCTGAAGTTCAAATCCACTGCCATATTTATTCATCAGTTGATCTTGTAGACTTTTACCTGATTTAAAACTGATCACATCCGCACATATAAAAGCTGCTTTAAGTAATGCGGCTGTTTTGGAGAGAAATTTAAAATGCAGCATTTGAATACTATTGAATACTGTGTATATAGCAAAAAGCAGAAACCTATATGAATGCATCCAGGCACCAGTAAATGCATTGAGATACCAGTGAATGCATCCAGGCACCAGTGAATGCACTGAGATACAAGTGAATGCATCTAGGCACCATTGAATACATCCAGGCACCAGTAAATGCATTGAGATACCAGTGAATGCATCCAGGCACCAGTGAATGCATCCAGGCACCAGTGAATGCATCGAGATACCAGTGAATGCATCCAGGCACCAGTGAATGCACTGAGATACCAGTGAATGCATCTAGGCACCATTGAATGCACTGAGATACCAGTGAATGCATCTAGGCACCATTGAATGCATCCAGGCACCAGTGAATGCAGTGAATGCATCCAGGCACCAGTGAATGCACTGAGATACCAGTGAATGCATCTAGGCACCATTGAATGCACCGAGATACCAGTGAATTCATCCAGGCAACAGTGAATGCATCCAGGCACCAGTGAATGCACTGAGATACCAGTGAATGCATCCAGGCACCAGTGAATGCACTGAGATACCAGTGAATGCATCTAGGCACCATTGAATGCATCGAGATACCAGTGAATTCATCCAGGCAACAGTGAATGCATCCAGGCACTAGTGAATGCGTCAAGGTACATATTAATGCATCCAGGTACCAGTGAATGTTCCCAGGCACCAGTGAATGCATCCAGTTACCAATAATTCATTTACTTAAATTGCTAGTTCTCAAACTGACTACACCCATACATATATTGTCATACCTGAAGACTGAGGGTTGGTATAATCAGATAAATCACATAGCTCTTTTATTACAAGATGTCTTGCGCTCTCAGTATCTTTACCTAAGACTAACACAAGATGAGGACTGAAAAGAAAAACAATTTAATAAATATATATCTAAATTAACTAACAAATAATGGTATTTTTAATAAATACTTCAACTTTGTAATGTGCTTTGTAATGTGCACTTAATCTGATCAGCAGTGCCCCAGGCTATAAACAAAACAATGGTTAACTAATTCATTTACAGCTTAATCATATTTACAAAATCTTGCTAATAATCAAAACCTTTACACCCCTACAGAGAGAATTGTATGATCCACTCTATATGAGGTATGCTATCTTACTCAATTATTCTTCTGCATTTAGCACCAATTGGTTTCTTTCCATCAATGGTGATAGCAGCATTGGTTACAGCGCCCCCGTTTTCATACGTGATTGGTGGCGTATCTGACCATCCACCTGATATGTCGATACGAGCTGGACATCGTGCAACTATCCACTGCCCAATAGGAGCAACTTCACAAGGATTGCTGGATATGAACTGAAATACAATTATCACACAAAGTTTTTTTATTATTTTAAATTATATTATTAATATCAAACAAAGTTGAAAATAGCAAAAATAACTGTGATATCAGATATACCTTGCACAGGATTTGAATTAATTAATGTGATACTAATACTGTACAAAAGTACTGTAAACCAAGATGTGGTGAGTCCCACTCAACGTATACAACCAGTGTAAATTACATTGATACGAATTTTTAATGTACAGTTCACTACGATCGACACCATTGCTTCACTATGACCGACACAGCGCTTTAAATTTCATAGATATGTTCGGAATTTGAGAGCATTCATTCTGAGGATAACATTTCGTGAGATGATCACTGATAATACTCGCTGAGAAATTTTTTTGCTAAATCTTTTGATTTTCCTTAACTAAAATAATTCCCAGAAATTTGTCTCAGATTAGTTTTAATGGTGTTTGTTTATGTTCCATCATTAAACATTATGTGCATAAAATATAACAAATAATATATTTCAATATCTCAGAAATTTCATAAAGAGTAAAATTATCAAATTATTTTTGAGAAGTTGAATGTAATTAAGGTATAGGAAAAAAGGTATATTCGCTGTAAATTATTTTCACTGCATCATTCCCTCAGTGAAAATAGCGACAATAAATTGCAAGTGAAAATACAATATTTTACAGTAACTGTATTGTCATATTTTTACAATGTTTGCATATTAATACAATTCACCTGTCGCGCTGTCATCACAGCATGGCGAATTAAAATCTGTTCTGCTCCTTCATAATGTCTCGCTGCTCGCACTAATAAATCTGCTCTATCCATCCAATTCAATCTCTCGGCTGCCAATGCCATTACGCCAGCAGCGATATTGCCTTCCTGTCAACAACAATAGACACGTAATCGAAAAAAAAAAATTATCAAAGGTGGATAAAATAAAGGGCATGTAACTAGGATGACATGCGTGGAAGATTACATTAGACTACATTATGAGTAGTCACATAATGTTTAATATGATTTTTATCACATGTTAGCATGTATGTGATTGAATACCCTGATCGACCTTTGAGTGGTATGTCTTGTTACAGTAGTGGTTAGCCACATGTTGTGGGATATGATTGAAGGACTGTGTTTACCTACGTAATGTACGATTTCAGATGAAAATAAATGAGCCAGTTGCATTTTTTCTAATGCATACATAAATGAATAATACAGAATAAGATTAAATATATCGTACCTCCAGTTTGTGAAATGCCTTTGCCCATGCTTTATTTGCTGCTGGTCCACTACGTAGTCCACCAGAGCCTTTCAGTGCAGATATACATCCCAGTACATCAGCTATGCATGCTAGAGTTCTTGCCGCAACACCAGGGGAATCAGTCTCTGATGCAACTATAATTCATAAAACATGTGGATGAGGGCATATGTCATGTGACCGGTTTCACATGACCTATCATTTGATCTGGTATTTTAAAGATAATGATCATTGAGTGATCAAAATTTTAGAAATATTTTTAAATCTGTGAAATCATTGATTTTTGATAATCAAAATTTTGTAGCAGAAGCTAGGCAAAATCAAATTATAGACAGTGAAAATTTGTATCATGAATTACCTGTATCCAGGGTAACTAATAAACAGTCGCTGTAACCTTCTACTACAGCACTTTTAAAGAAAGGAAGTAAACTTTTATTTTCCATTCCTGCAAGAACGGTTTTCACGTCTGCTTGACCAATCTGGAATGACATATCCCTGCAACAAGAGAAAAAAAATATATATTTAAAGAAAAATTGTTAAATGTTGACAATTTCAGCAGAAAGTCAATGTTGCATTTTGTGTGTTTATGAAAATCACCTTTTTCTACAAATTAACATTACTGCCCCCTTCATACATGGTTGATATCCCATGATGCATCTTACTTCACTTTACTCAATATGTGCACTACTTCCCATTATGAAATGTGACGTCACTTGTTTTTAAACTCGCAGAATGATGTTATGTAATCATACTTTCGTCTTTGGCAAGCTTCTCTAATTTTTCTCTCAATTATATTGTCATGACAACATTAATAACCCTGCAGATTTTTTGACAAGATAATTTTTTGTATTTATTAATATTATTCAATATTTTCAATTAATATTATTCAATATTAAAAATAAATATACATATGTGAGGCACTGTGGCCCACAATGATGAGTTGCCAATCCTTTTTTTTTGGATTATTAAAATATATTTCTTGATTTGAATCAACATAAAGCAAATTGTTATGAATACCTGCGTAATTGGAATTCTGTATTGATGTCAACACATTGACTAATATCTTGGAGGGATAAACGCCAAGATTCTTTCCATCTTTGTAAAACTACATCATTGTCTTCAATCTCAGCTCCTTGTAACCATAGCAACTCCTTAATTCCTACATCCTCAGTACAATGCCAGACAGGGAACAGCTTTGCATTGAACAATGACCGCACATAATCAGTCTAAAATTAAGTATATTTATAATATCATATGAAGTTGTCATGAGAATACTGCTAAGTATGCATGACGGCAGTATGGTAATCGAGATATATAACGGAGATTGAGTGACCCACACTGCCTGACTACATACTTTATGATATTCTTGTGATCTTTATTATTATTAACTTTATTATTATACATCTTTTTTTCTGTTTGTAGTAATATTATTTAGCCCAAATGACAACAAAAAATGTTTTGCACTGTGCCAACATTTGCATGAGTGACGGGGTTCTATTTCCATCGCATGCTATAATGCTTTTGTGTCCAGTGTGAACAAAGGAAAATGTTCCAATGTGACGTCAATAATGTGAAACGCGTCAATGTTCGTGAAGTAGTTTACCCCGTACAGGGGAAAATTAAAACATTCAAATGAGTGTTGATATATTTTATCATAATAAATTGTACCAATGTTTCATTACTTTATAACACCAAATCCAGCACTTGAACTTAAACCTAGAGTAGATAAAAAGTGTTTTATATGTTCTTTCAGCGTTATAGAGCTGGAAAAGTCACTTACTACATGTAGGTCAGACAAATGTGTGGTTTTTAAAACTACCTATTTGTTGGCAAGTGCCTAACAATGCATTTATTATAGTGGTCAAGACACCATTACTGTGTTCATTATGTCATCAAATCCCATGATTATATGAAAATATGGATTCATCCTTGTTATTAATTAATTATGAGCATCCAACACATTATGTTATCCAGAAAAAATTCATGAATAGCACAAAGCATGATGGGACAAATCTCAATCAAGTAGATCACAAAATAGATCACATGATCAATTTTAATCATTACTTCACAGAATCATGTGTGTAAAGTGTTAAGAGTTAATTTTGATCTTGTCAACTGAAAATTACCTTATCTGCAGGCCATATATCTTCCTTGTCGATTCCAGTTCTTTGTAGGAAAATAATCCACGGCATATTGCAGTACGTACTCGTACCTTTCACAAACGTTGTCTGTTAAAATGAATTAAGTTATGAATATTTTGTTATTTTGTAACTCAAAGATAAAAAAAAACAAAACGAAAAGATAAAACAAGCAGCCTATCGGCTGAGATAGCTCCGCTGTTAGCAATGCACATTTCAATTAAAGAACCGAAGACATCATTAGAAAATGAACAATATGAATAGTATCAAAGCAATCGGACTTACAGTTTTTAACAAGAAGTCAAAAATATCACTTTTTACCAAAAATTACAAAAATATTCACCAAAATAAATTAATTAGAGAATTGAAGATATCATCACAAAACGAAAAAATCTGAGAGAGGTCCACATGTAGTACCTATATATGTAATATCAAAGCAATCGGACTTACAGTTTTTAACAAGAAGTCGAAAATATCACTTTTTACCAAAAATGACAAAAATATTCCCAAAATTAGAGAATTGAAGATATCATCACAAAATGAACAAATCTGAGAGAGGTCCACATGTAGTACCTATATATGTAATATCAAAGCAATCGCACTTGCGGTTTTTAACAAGAAGTCAAAAATATCACTTTTTACCAAAAATGACAAAAATATTCACCAAAATTAGAGAATTGAAGATATCATCACGAAATAAACAAATCTGAGAGAGGTCCACATGTAGTACCTATATATGTAGTATCAAAGCAATTGGACTTGCGGTTTTTAACAAGAAGTCGAAAATATCACTTTTCACCAAAAAATGACAAAAATATTCACCAAAATTAGAGAATTAAAGATATCATTACAAAATGAACAAATGTGAGAGAGGTCCACATGTAGTACCTATATATGTAATATCAAAGCATTTGCACTTGCGGTTTTTAACAAGAAGTCGAAAATATCACATTTTTACCAAAAATGACAAAAATATTCACCAAAATTAGAGAATTAAAGATATCATTACAAAATGAACAAATCTGAGAGAGGTCCACATGTAGTACCTATATATGTAATATCAAAGCAATTTCACTTGCGGTTTTTAACAAGAAGTCGAAAATATCAGTTTTTACCAAAAATGACAAAAATATTCACCAAAATTAAAGAATTAAAGATATCATTACAAAATTAACAAATCTGAGAGAGGTCCACATGTAGTACCTATAAATGTAATATCAAAGCAATTGCACTTGCGGTTTTTAACAAGAAGTCGAAAATATCAGTTTTTACCAAAAATGACAAAAATATTCACCAAAATTAGAGAATTAAAGATATCAACATGAAATGAACAAACTTAAGAGAGGTCTACCCAAGGTACATATACACCAAGTATCAAAGCATTTAGGCTTGTAGTTTTCAAGAAGAAGTCGAAAAAGTAAAACATTGACACGGACGACGGACGACGGACGACGACGGACGACGACGACGGACGACGACGACGACGGACGACGACGGACAATCACTCATATGATAAGCTCCGCTCGACAAAGTCGACAGCGGAGCTAAAAAAGTGTATTGTGAAAAAATAATCATTCATTCAATGCTTACACTTTTGCACCACCCCCCAAAATGCTCAATATACATAAAAAAAATACTGAAACTATATTGGCAAACATTGATTATCGTTCGATATAATACAATGTGGTATGTTCTTCGATCGACGTATGTGTGCATATTTACTCTGTCAACATGGTGACGGTGGTGACAGTTCAATATGGATTACAGTGACGGCTGAATTGCATGTCTCGAATAACTTATATATGTGTTGTTATTGTCTGGAATTTCATTTTCTGGAATTATATTATATTCTTTTCAATTTATATTGACATTATTATATTAACCCTACGTGACTTGTAACACCCTTAACAAAATATATTTGTTTTCTTTAGAAAAAAAAAACTATAATGAAGACGTGTAGTCGATGAGCAAGTACTTAATACAGAAATTGCAGGAAAATTTAAATATAAAAGTGAACGTTAGTGCTCTAAAATGTTGGCGGGAAGAATAGACCATTTTTCGTACACTGCGAGAATCACGCGTTATGCGTGAAATCGAACGTAAAAAACAGGACAAACAAAGGTCATAGCGTCGTAGTCGCGTCAAACATCGCGTGGGATTCGACAAACGCAAAAGTATTTCGGGGACATTTCCATGCTTAATAATGTGCTGTCCACATTTGATGATAGGCAATTTCGATTAAGTAATGGTATTCGGAAGCAATATTCCTCTGTCGAAGATCGGCCGGTCAATGTAAGCTGCGAAATAAAGAAATTCTAGTTCAAAATCAAATCGTTCGATTTTTGCGGCAGACGTTCGACGCGCGTCTTTCATGCATCTCGCGAGATCTCGCAATTGTTCGGAAAATCACCTATTCTGTCGTTATGATATTCTCAAATAAAAAAAGCTTACGAATGATATCTTTATAGTGTTCTCCTAATTATAAACTTGACGTTGGACTGTAGACTAAATTTTGTAAATAAAAGAATGTTTTACTATTCGCAAAATTACAAATTCCTCCAGCCCCAACTAGTAATACTGTAAATGTGTAGATTGATAATGATAGAAGTGACATTGAATTATTATTAGTGTTGCGGTAAATACAAATATGTTTAGCATATTACGAACAGATAAACAGACAGCACGTGGAATTCAAACTCACGACCACGATCGTGGTCATATAAATATATATAAATACTAACTCACGAGACCCGGACTAACTAATTGTGACTAGTTAAATCAAAGACAAGTTAATATCCAGGTGCGAAGCAGCAGAATGTAGTTACTGAATTTTTGATACACTATCAAACAATATTATAATTGTGTCATGTTAAAAAGCGCGGAGCTGACCGTAAATTACATTTTACATGTTTCTTAAAATCGTTTGTTAAATTCTAACAGCAATGTATTTTAATATATCGTATTGATTTCTCATAAGAGGATTTATTCGGATCAAAATCGTGTTCAAACGTTTCTTCAGGACTACCTGGAAAATGTAAAATCCATATTTCCTTGGAAATAAATCTGATCCTTTATTTTCCCGATATTTAATCCAACTGATAAACAAGTCTGCAAACGATCAATTTGTAAAAAAAGTCGGTCTAGAATAAAGATGTGAGTTGGTGAACTTGTTTAATCTTTCCTTTTTTAAATAATGTCACATTTATTCACTGATTTTGTTTGAAGATACAAACCTTGCATTGATTAACTA